AAAAGATTTTAATAGTTGGGTAAAACATAAGAAAAGAGTTAATATGCATTTTGAGAGAAGTTTAGATCATAATGAAGAATATACAATAAACAGTAACACTGACAAAGAAAATACACAGTTCATTACTTTTCAGAGAGCAATGAAAGTACTGCTTATATATGGACAGTGTGTGGGTTTGAATCCAGTCACAGCAATATTGAATCACGATATTACAAAAATAAGGTATAACATTTTAATTCGTATTTATGAATATCGATTTTTTGCAAATAATGGCGTTGTGGCAATGTGGTAAAAGTCTATTAAGTAAGTTTTTGCTTACATGTTGTCAAGTCTTCACAAAACGCAATTAAATCTATGTATTTATAAGAGATTTCCACGTATATAGTCACTCTTCACGATATCTCTGGAACCATTAGAGCTAAAGATTTGAAATTTGGTAGGAATATTCTTTTCACCGAGTAGAGGTCAGCTAAGAACGGATTTTAAGAAATTAAAAAATAAATAAATAATGTAAATAGCAAAACAACGTTTGCAGGGTCAGCTAGTTATATATATAATAACAACGGGAACCTGAGTTCGACGGTTTTAAGGTTCCGTTTGCCTGTCCTGCCGTCTTTAACATAAAATTTGTCACCAATCTACTTTTAGTTGAATTTTCTGTGATCTAAACACTGACATTGTTAAAAAAAGTTGCACACTATACCGTGGGTCATTAAAAGGACCTATCATGACGGACGGCGTCTGGGAATTGCTACCCAGGAATAGGTTTAGGGAGTACCCCTTGCAAGGTATACCTGGTTCCCTGGCTATTAGTACCCGAGACGGCGTGCGGTTTTAGTCGGTTCGAGTCCGACATGCCACCGATAGGTGGTATCCGAGGGGTATTTCCGCACGGAAAAAAAAAGGGAGTACCCCTTGCGACGCGTCAGCGCTCACCTCCACTGTCCGTTGTGTTGCCCCCTCTACCTAACCATATTTGATACGAGCCTAGCAATGCCGCTTTGGATAAATTAACTGACAGTATTAGAAACTTACACTTGAGCCAATTAAAGAAAGAACCACATAAAATGCTCATCAATAAACGCTACTATAATATTAATGACTTTTAAAAGATAGATTATTGTAATTTTCAATTTCTCTCTCACGAAATTTACTAATCTACTATGTAAGAATCTGATATTAATGATATTGAAAATAATAATAACTATATTTTTTATTATTCTGAAATGTATAATGTTTTTCATATTTCATTCTTATCTATTAATTTATTATAATAATTCGAGAATTGATATTTCAATAATTTATTTATTTTACATAATTTATTTGTAAAGACCTGTAATTGACCTGTATTACTATAACTCTAAGAAGGACATTGCATTAATTTGATTTCCTAAAATATTTTTATTTAACTTTAAAATGTTTCAGTGTCAATCTTGATTCTGATTTTGATAAACTACACTGTATAATTTTGCATGCCTTATGGTAGAAGCACTTAAAACATGTAATTTCCAACACTATTGTAACAGTGTTTTCTGCAAAGTAAATAATTAGAATTTGAATTTGGATATTCGTTCAAAAAAACAGTTAACTGATATATAAATAAATATATATAAATAAAAATAATTATTTTATGATTTATTTATGAGGAGACTTGTTGGTCCGCCAGTAACCTCAGTAACGCGGTGAGAAATTACGAAAGAACTGCTTTGCACCAATTTTCTGGGAGGCCGAAGTACCACAAGAGTCGAGACGACCCATATGTGTCGGAGCAAGGCTCTCCCACGAATGTCACTGAAGTAACTGTTTAGAAATAAGATTGATTATGTTTGTCAACCGCTTCCACACCCACCTCGTTTGGGAAATATTATGTAATCCAATTTGGTTAATCTTCAATAACTTCTGCAACATCTATATAAGTACGAGCATATTAAATGTTAAGTTGGTTTGTGTATGCTTCAAAACTCAAAAAGTTCTGCACTGATTGAGCTAAAATTTTGGCATCAGTATTTTTCACGTCAGTTTTATTCCTTATTTCTTAGCAATACACTCACACACAGCGTTCAACAAGTTAGTAATTTATAATAACCTAGTGACTTCGTTCGCGAGGAATTTGAAAAGCGCTGTCTTTGTTGGTTCGATTCCTGGACAGGGCAAAATTTTAAAAAGTTTTTCTGAGAGGAAAAATAGCCTAAGATACTTCTTGTATAGACCTGGTAGTAAAATATTGTCAAAATCAGTCATGCCGTTTAAAAGATTACCCGGAACAAACAGATAGACAGACAGAAAAAACTTTTTTTAGGCAAAGTTTTTAGGCATAGGTATCGTGCAGATAACCATGTCTATGATGATGATGAGCATGAAAAAATGCCTAATATTTTGACATTACAAACAGACACTTCAATTTTATTTACTTGTATAGATTAGAAAATAACACTTTTATATTGTTTATTACAGATTCAAATTGTACTCATGGAGATTACTGTATACAGCAATAATAGCGATTTTACAAACACTTGCAGCAGGCGTCTGCTTGTATAAGCTGTTTGTTTCAGCTATTACCATCAGATCTCTCGGTAAATATACTGATAAGGAGACAATAAAATTGTTTTATCTAGTTTTCGTAATGTGTAGCAATAGAAGTAGCAATGACAGAAGAGGGAAGAAGAGGCAGAAAAAGCCTATTAGTATTAGATAGCCATGTATGTTCAAATTCACAAAATTATGTGCGTTATCAGTCAAAATATGCAAAATGTACTTTTTGTAGCGTAATTAGGAGTGCAAAATTCATTTATTTTGCTGATTAGGAACGTTGGTAATTTGAAGAGACTGTACTGTACTGACTAACAATATTATTATTAACATTACATAATTATTTGTACAGTTCCGAATATGCTATGAGACATCCTCACATTTTAAATTCTTAGACCAAAATAAAGTACCCATCACTAAATACTAACAACATATCTCTCTCTCTATTATGTTTCTAGTATACTGTTGTCTCGCTTTCGCAAGTTGGTGCACTACGATCATTTTCGTCCAAATCGCAAGTAAATGGGAATTACTAGTAAAAGATATATTCGATTGTAACCTGGACAAATACATTAATAAAAGCATAAGTTTTCGATGCAAAGTATCCTGCATAGTATTTTTGATTTTAGCTATTGGTAAGTTTGTATTTTTTAAAGTTATTGACGTTTGCCTATCGTAGTGGCTTCTCCAATAAAAGAATGAATATACAGGTAGGTACGCGACCCTGTCTCTTTGAACTAAGTCATTCTCAAGATTTACGATTGATTTGATTTACTCTCCATCCCTTGCCATCTCCGTATTCCTTACATTCTTTTCCGTCTTTTATTCCTTTTGTAAAAGGTCTATTTTCGAGGCACCGAGCAGGCCGCCGCTCTATATAAGAAACCAGTCAAATCAATTTCAATCAATTTATAAAAAGGCTGGATAATAAGAAACAGGTAATACCTTAACAATACGAAGTTTATTTAGTTTTTCTTTATTCTCAGTAGCCTGTATTTTTCTTTTCCAATTGAGATCTCATTTCAAAGATTTACTACTACGTACTACCGTGAACCTAGAGCTAATCAATCAAATGCATGTAAAGGAATCAGCTCTCTTACTAGCTTACGAAGCGATTACTGTTTTCTTTTATGTCAGTCAGGTAAAGAAGACAGCAAAGAATACACACTATTTAAATATTGATTTTAAATTACAATACACTTAGTAACTCCTACTTTTAGAAACATAAAACAACATGTATTTATTATAAAACAATCACAGAAAACATAAAAAGATATAACATTATACTCGAAATACGCGTACCATATTTTATTTTGTTAAAGGTTTATGATGATTTTTTGTTTACTGTATATTAAGTTGTCGACTTTTAAACCAAAGATACGTGTAAGAGGGCGCGCTCAAAGAGTACGAATGCTTGAGTATGTGGCAGTTCTACTAGCGGACTCTAGACTTCTAAAAAAGGTTTTTAAAGCGTAGTCGTTGGTGTGGAGTGTATAAGAGACGATGGAACTCGTCTCGTTTGAAAAATAACATCAAACACAGCAAACATTTGTTTTCATTTTTGAAGTCGAAAAACATTTCGTAACAAAATAAAAAATGTGAACAGTTTAAAGCAATGTGTATTCTTTGGTAGTTTAAACTCTTTGCTGTCTATACTCTTAGATAAGGAAGCCCTTTTTAAAATATAAAGTAGTGGTGGAAGATGTTGCTACTTTCAAATCATAATCATATGATGAAATTATTTACTTATTTAGTTTATACTTCCTGCAAATACATTGCATAAGGCGGACTTAATGTCATAGGCATTTTCTTCTAGTCGCTGCGATTTCACCTGTAATAAATCACTACTAGGTTTTGTTCATAGACAAAGATAAATGCCATCAAAAACTAAAGCAAAGAAAAAACATTTTTTTTAAGGATTTAGACTTTTCGCTAGCGTAATCATAACCATAAGTGGCAGTAGTCTTGTAAATTAATTGCAGTTGTGATAATATGATTTACTCGTATGACAGGTGATTGTGATTATATTCCATCTCTAGTATAAAGGGAAACGAGCGGACGGGTTACCTGATGGTAACTAACTCCCGACACCCATAGATAGCTGCAACTCAGGACACACAAGTGCGTTGCCGTTTTCAGAGTGAGTTTGGGCCTACCGTAACCTAACTCTCTCGGTTTGTTTTCTTTAAAAGCAACGTAACAATTGCTCAAAACCTTTTCTTCTGTGAAACCTTGGTACCACTCTGGTCGAGTCTGTCGGTCGGTCGGTCGGTCAGAAGGTCTATTCGTGCCGAAGTATGGCTCTGGCGAAATTTAACTAAGTAGAGTTTGATAGTGTTTTTGGCCTCGTTAATTGATCTTCACACGTCTTTATTTCAGTGGAACTCATATTGTACTGCATATGGAAGATATCGGAAGTACTTGAATGCAATGTATTGGATGATACTACTTTTGAGAAAATCGTTAATAACATGTATCCAGCATTCTCTGATATCGGTATTGCTTACAATATACCAACTGCCATATTGTTACAGGTAAACGTATAATTTTTATAGCCTTGTTCCTATTTTAAAACTATTAATAATAACTAGATGCCCCGATAAAAAGAGTTCGTACATTGATTACTGCGTACCGTATGCATCATCTACGTTCATCGGTGATGAGGTTAAATATTCCACTGTGGGTGGTTGTCCTGGTTGTCTAAATGCCAGCACCCTTAGGAACTTCTTCCTTTCTGTTAATGTGGGTATGTCTAGGTATGTAGTAACAGTTGAAAACGGACTCACTCCGCTTGGTTAAGGTAAAGAGAACTGGTGCAAACTTGTAATACTCAACATTACTGATCGTAAGGAGATATCGAAGGGCAAAGAGCTGCATGGACGTTTTTATCAGGCTTTGAAAAGTCCTTTTTTTTCCGTGCGGAAATCCCCTCGGATACCACCTATCGGTGGCATGTCGGACTCGAACCGATTAAAACCGCACGCCGTCTCGGGTAATAATAGCCGGGGAACCAGGTGTACCCTAGAAAGGAAGTCCCTGGTGCCCCGACATACCTCGGGCCATCTACAACAAGTAGACGACCCCCCCCCGTGTGGGAACCCCATGTTCCCTCTGCTCCCTGAAAGCGAGCGCGCTTCGCAACGCGCTCGCCGCCACCCCGGCCTGCTTCTGCTAGGGTGACAGATGGCCTCACCTGTCACCTCCAGGCCTGCAGGCTTTGAATAGGCCTGAGGTATACCGATTGGCGACGGTATTCTGGCTACCATTCAGTGACCTTGTCGGAAAAACTGAAGGTTTTGTCTTTGAAATTAATGATGAAGGTATATCTTGAAGGACAACACAATAGACATTTGTCGGGCAAGTCATTGTCCCGGGGAAGCCTCAGACATATAATTTCCCGTTATTCTCGTCTTGCCAACGACGATTACTTGGATAATTATAACCAAGTGGCCAGGATAGTGCATCAGCAATTTGTCTTGTATAAACTTGTGATAGAAGAGTGAATATGTGCCCGACCCAGTTCTTGAAAATGGTCGGGATTGCACTATTATCATAGACAGGACTATTTTTGCCAATAAACCTGTTATTGTGGTAATAGACCGTTTAGAGCGCCGAATAATTAATGTTGACATTACCATTCCACATAACGAATCGATCGATCTCGATCTCGAATCGACGATCTCTTAAAAGTTGAAAAAGATAATTTAGTAAAGTATTTGGATTTGGCCAACGAGATTGTTGACATGTGGGATGTGGATTCGGTAATCATCGTACCGATAGTCATATCTGGCCATGGATTAATTGCTAAGAGCCTCGACCAACATCTACAAAGATTCGCGTTAGGCAAGGGCCCGATGCAAAAAGCAGTTCTTCTCGACACGGCATGTATTGGGGGGAGGTTTATCCCTCTGGAATCCTATCCATTGGTATTGCTGCCGTTTTGATCCAGTTCTTGTACATGCATGACTTAATTATTCTTTCTGACAGACTTCTCATAATATGATTCTTACACCGGTCCACTCTGGACATGAATTGTGCTTCAAAGGAGTTAACTGGCACCTCGAAGAACATTCCGGACGCGCTACAATAGCGTGGTAGTTCCATAAGTTGCCTAAAGATGTAGGTAGGCAACTCGAATACTATTAATTGATTTCTTAGTATAATTAGTCCAAAGTTGACAAGTGTAGAATGTCTGACAAAAGGAGCGAAACAATATCACTTTAAAGTCTGGGAAAGCCTTACGGTATTTCCTACTGATCTTATTGCCCTCAACTCAATAAGGCTTTCCGTTGCCGCTCAATTTCAGTGTCATCCCTATAGACAAGGTACCTAAAGTTTTCCACTACTTCGATAGGCTGTCCGTCAAGAAACAAGCTGGAAACGCTATCAGGCCCCTTTCCGGACATAAATGTAGAAATATAATAATGGTCTGGTGGTCTGGTGATCAGTTACCCTGACTGCTAAGCCAGTGGTCGTGGGTTCCATTCCCACCCAGGGACAAATAATTGTGTTATGTTATCATTTGTTCTATATCAAAATTATTATAGAGATAAGAGTAGTTCAGGAATCGAAACATATAATGAAAATTATATAAAACGTGTTTATATTAGGGTTTAAAGTATAAAATTGCCGATTTGTACCGAAAATTTGAACTTGTTTTTTTTCGAACATGTAACGTATTTATCTAATCAAAATATTAACCCTCATCTATACATTGCTGCCATTGGAAGTTAGTTTATGACGTTACGATAGAAATCTGGGGATCTAGATTGCTGTTGCGGCGTTTGACCTAGAGTCAGCCATTGCATTTTTCACTTACGGTTATCTTAAACAATCCATTTTTCGTCACATGTCACAATTCGATCCAATATTCCTTCATTTCTGTATCGATTCAATAAGGCAACACAAGTTTCAATACGCATTTCTTTCTGCAGATCAGTCAAACCATGAGGCACCAATTTTTCAAATTTTTATCTTATTTATTTGATGCAAATGGATCAATATAGTAGTAGGGTAACGTTAAACCATGCCGCTAATTCCTGGGTAGTTTGACTCGGATCGGCTTCTATCGCCTTTAATTCAGCGTTATTCACATGTGTGGGCGGTCTTCCCCGTGGTTTGTTCTTTAAGTCGAAGTTTCCATTACGAAAGCATTTAAACCAAAAACGCAGGGTGCGTTCATTAGCAGTCTCCTCTCCAAACGCAGGGTAAATATTGCGAGCCGTTTCTGACGCGTTAGTTCCACGTCGGAACTCGTATTAAAAAATCACTCGGATTTTCGATGTATCTATCTTTCATGTCTAAGCTAAATAAAAAAAGAACAATTGTAAGTCTAAAATCGAATGTTGTACATTTTTTAAGAAATAGAAGAACATTTAGAAGAAAGTTCATTTTTTCGTTTTATGTCAATTCAAAGTATCATTTACTATACAAGGGCAATTTCATACTTTAACCCCTATTATCTCTATAACTTAATTTGATGAATAAATTTCGCGTTGATAATTTTAACACTCATCCAGGTCTTTTTGTCTACTAATTTATGTATTTACTTATTTCCAGTTTAATTACATAATTACTGTAGCGAATTGGAACTTTGCAGATATATTTATCATTTGCATAAGTCTATACTTGACGTCGATATTGAACGAAATAAATAAAAAAATTATGTGGGCTGCTGATGAGGTGTGTTTTTGTTCAAGTATTATGTTCCCATTGAAAATCTAAAATTGATAGTAGATCTAAAAAAAGGTAACTTTGGGGTAAAGAAAAATCCGTGTGGTGACGGACTAAGAATACGGAATGTCACCACCCCTATTCATCCCGTGGGTGTCGTAAGAGCCGACTAAAGGAACAAACTACGCAAGACTGTTGTCTTGCGTAGTTTGTTGTTGTGTGTTTGTTTACCTTCTCTTTGCAGTGCTGTTGCACTGCAAAGAGAAGGTAAAGGAAAGGAAAATTTCAAAACAAACCCTATACCAACTCGTCTGGCCAGCGTGGTGGCCAGACGATCCTCTTCTTTATGTCCGGTAGTGGACTACTTTTGGTTATATGATTACAATCAAACAGCTATTAGGGTTGAAAAGAGTTACAACCAGATTACAAAAAAAAACCTTGCTCCATGGTTGAATTATGTGTTATAAGATACTCAGTTAACTTTCTAACATAGAAACGAATGCGTTTATTCAACAATGTAGACCTATTTTTCTTTCGTGTATTTAATCTATCTATCTATCTATCTAAAATCTATATGCACCAGTCTTTCTTTGCCATAGATTCTTAAGGCTCTTAATTTGTTTTGGTAAGTGGTGTGTAATCACTACACTTACATTTAATTGAAGTATAAATCGTATTCCAGAATTATCTACCTCCATCTACTTGGGGCACTCTTCGAGAGGACTATAACCGAGCAACTCGACTCATCCGACGGTTTGACGACGTATTCGGTGGTCTCGTACTTTTGTCTTTCGCTACCAATCTTTTCTGGATATGTTTGCAGATATTCAATATATTGGGGTAAGTACGGCCATGTGTTCTGAAAATAATTGTATTTAAAGTTCCTCTAAGTAAGTACATGAGCTGATTTTATCTCCTCCCGTCCAGCATATTTCTACAGTAAAGGGATAAAAAAACTGCCATCAAAAGACAAAATTGTGTAGATAATGTGGTCCAGTATTTTGATTACCTAAAATAAAGAAATAACCAAGATTTTTATATTTTAAAGAACAATGGCAGAAACATATTTACCTAAAACTTAAGCGTTTAAAAAATCGAGTCACGGTAAACTTATTCAAAAAAATTTCTATGATTTATCATCACACCACCATGTGTTGTATAAGTCTTATAAAAGATAAGATATTTTTGAAGATTTTATTTGACCTAAGTACGTAATGTCAGATTCGCCATCACGAATAACTGACTAGGGATGCGTGGTGGCGATATTATATTATAGAACAATTTATCGATAATCGATTCTTATAGCTTTGGCTGAAATATTTACCGAAGGTTTACTATTATGATTATGAATTTGCTTCTGCCCACGTCTTCACTTGTACGGTAGAGTGACTTGATGATCAACATAATTAGAAATGATTTAAAATATTTTTGACTCTCTTTAAACGATTTTAAACACACTAAAGAAATAGAATAAAGTTACGTTATTTTCCACTACACAGTGTGATGAGAAAAATACATTGTCATTGATAACGGCACATAAATAGACATACATCGATATTTTCAAATTGTCGATACGTCGTCGTTTAGTACATATCTCTTAATCTGTGGTTTAGATCCTGTCAAGTTCCGGACTCACCACGTTTGTTATTTTATTTTTGTTTAATTTATTGTTAAACTCGAATAGATGTTATGCTTTTATTTTTTTTATTTCATATACTGTAATAATAATGAAAATAATATTTTCGGCTATCTGACACACAACGCCATCTAGTTTCAAACAAAACATTAACAATATGTTAGTACTTAACCTCGAAACATTTAAAATCCAATATCTTTTTTCCTAGACTTCTTTCGCAAGTAATTTTGATATGAGAATGGTCAAGAATAAATTCTCAAGTGTTAAGGATTTTATGATATTTAAACGCTAACATTTCAGTTCAAATAAAATTATGTATGGGGACCTGCCATTGTCCTTTTACATAAAAATCTCCAACTTCATAGGTAAAGAGATAATATAATAAGAGAAATTATGTACCCGAATAATATTGTGATGTATAAACAACTTTTGTACCGAATTTGACAGGTTTGCCTCATCGTCTAATAGTAGGCGGTATCTGTTACGATAAGTATCTGCTATTTTTTCTTACAGAAACGGTATGAGACCAACACTCAACAGTTTCGAAATGTGTCCCCATCATCGCAGGTGGTAAGTAAACATGTGTGCTAGTATTATATTAAGAGATAAATAAACATTCTGACAAATAATATATAATTATACCACCTCAATATAAGGTGTGAATTTTGTCAGATTGTATTCAGGATTATTCATATTTAGATAAGTGTTTTTACCTTTCTTATTTTGTAAACTGTTTCAATGAAGTCCGAAAGAGATACAAGTGCGAATTACTTAACTACCGTTGTTACGTAAAGCACGTAATGCAACAGAACTGTTCCTTAGAGAAACAGATAATACAATGGGCTGGTACGTACATGGTAACTTTGTTATACTTTGCAAATCTCTTGCACTTCTAGTCCATTTGCGTTAAGAAAATAGTGACGCATTGATTAAGTCCCGCACTCTGATCAATCAGGTTTAAAGATGTCGCACGAAATGATTATTTCTTGGAACCTAATTGGTCATGGGCTTGGCTTAATCGATTCATCATTATTTTCTTAACGCGAATAGAGTATATTCTTCAAGGTGAAGGGTGATAGGTCGAGGTGAAAAAAAGCCTTTATATAATATCGATGCTAATACATTTTATTTGTTACAGGCTCTTTCAGGGTTACGAGCACCCCATTTTCACAACGTCAGTCTTGATAACGAGGTTTACGACTATGTGTCTTTCAGCAGCTAGTGTGAACGTCGCCTCTATGGTGCCGGCCTCTGCTCTTTATAGAGTTACGTCCTGTTCTTATTCAATTGAGGTTTGTGCACTAATTTGAATATCTAAGTTTTGATTATCTTTGTGCCTATGTTTAGGCCCATGTCATTTAGCTCCCTGTAACAAAAAAAGTAAGTAACGATTATTCGTATATTCATGCAGTGCAAATACGATTATTTATATCAGGTCATATCAACAACCGTTAAAATAAGATTAATTGAATATCTATTTTCGACAGGTTCAAAGGTTTTTGGACCAAGTACATGATGACGTAGTCGCCCTCACCGGGATGAAATACTTTTACATAAACAGAGAATTAGTTCTATCAGTAAGTATCAAACTGTAAATTAATAATCTCATTTGAGAAAAGACAACTTGACCGCAATAGCAAGTTCAAGGAATGCTTGTTAAGTTTGCCAGAGAGTTTATTATGCATATTTATACTCTGTATTATTTTTTGTTTTTTCTCTTTTTACAGATGGCTGGTACTATTTTAACTTATGAGCTGGTGCTTCTACAGTTAGGTGGTGAAGAATTCTAAGATTCTTAGTTATATTTACTGATTTTACATACTAAATACGTTCAGTATACGAATCAAGATCCTGATTTGGTTTCTTTTTCCGTGGTTCTTCTCGTGGACCCCAGGCCGTAGGGCTAGAGAAGTCACTCCGAGATCCTGGCCTGCCCAAGTAATCCTCCGCGTGGCTAACGCAGGCGACAAACATGCTAGCTATGCGCGGGTCTCGTCGAGTGTGGCCCCCTGTGCTTGGCGATGTTGAGCTCCGAGTCGTAATCACTCCGTGGAGCGCCCGTCAGCGTCGCGTCACGTCACGTTACCCGAGCCCATCACATGTCACATGTCCTCAGGGGACATTAAAGGCTAGTGGAAATATTTTGAACATAATTTAATTCATTGTGTTCTAGTGAAGTTAAGATAATTTGTATAAATGGTTGAATAGAGATTGTCAAATACACTTGTACCCCTTTGCGTAAGTATCTATCTACCTGGGTACATTTTGCTTAAATTAGTGTATACAATAATTTCTGTGAATGAAATATGTTTGAATTTCAGATTTTACCCCACGTCTCGTTTTAGCAACTTTTTCATTATCCTTTAATATCAAACTTTCTTACGTTATATATTATTATATAATACATATATCATGTGCCTTAGCATATTACTCCTAATTGACTACCATCTTGCTGAGCCCACAAATTGATGCACTCATCAGTGCCATATTATCCGTCGTAATTGATGTTCTTAGCGCCTGAGCCGCTTCTGTCTCAACCAAGTCCAGTCGAACAGCTCGACTAGAAACTTCTTTCCGTACAAGTTGAAAAGAAGCGCTGGTGACTTCAAGCCTTCTGGTCTCATCCTGTATTTCAACCTATACGGCCTTAAGAGGGCTCCGGTACTTCGCACACTATTGGTTTGGTTTCCATCCTAGCTTTTAAGAATATTAATAAAGTAAATATTAGTTGCTTATTGTCCTCTAACTTTTTCAATAATAAATCAAATGAAACCATATCATTAGTGAGCGAGAAATTGAGCCCTGAGGTAGCCCCATAGTGACCAGAGACCCCAGGGACCTCTGTCCATTAACATCCTCTCTCTGGATCCTATACCCAAATAAGAGATAAGAAGATCCAAAGCAGTATTCCTAATTCCATAGTAATGCAATTTTTTGATTAATGTTTCATGAATAACGCAATCGAATGCCTTTGATAAATCTCAAAAAACACCCAACGCATCCTGTTTATAATCCCAGGCACTAAATATCTTTTCCAAAAGTTCAACACCATTATCGACCAACCTCTTCTGAATCCAAACTGTTTCCTGTGTAGAATTTTGTTTTCGCTAAAGTGAGTTTGTAGCTGATCTAGTATAATCTTCTCGTCGGCCGGCCCAAAGGTCGGCTGTTTTCTTAACACTTAACACGAGCATTGAACGTTTTAACAATATCTCTATCGGTGATACAACTAAATATAAGCTCAGTATTACAAATGTTAATGTTCTCTTTCAATAAAGATCCTGTAATAGTGGGGAATGAATTCAATGATTCTGTTATCGGCACTGGAATGTCTGTGTTTTTTTTATTCATAAGCTGTGACAACATCTTAATCGGATTTAAGTACTTTATTATCAATTGTGAGGCTGTATTTATTAAATTTTGTTCTTTGCTTTTCAGTTTCTGTATTAATTATTTAACAGGTCATTCTAATTTTATTTGAAATATTACTAATTTTAGATCTTAAGTAATTAGCCTTTGCGGAATGTCATTTTTTCTTTTAAATAAATTGGAATATTGTTTAACATATTCTAGAAATTGTATACTAATTTTATAATTTCTTTCTACATAAAGCTCATAAAGCCTTGTTCTACTTTTATATATAACTACCGTGGCCCATTTACTGAAGGTTGTAGCACCTTTAATTGACACTTCTTAGGATTAAAGGTTCATTCAAATTCTAAACCATACATGTTAAAAAAAGCATTATATAATTGATTAGGATCATCACTATAACCCAAGCGGGGTAGTTCACTAAGCAGTTTATTTTTGAAATTTTCCGTACGAGTTACAATTTTAAGTATTACAGTAATCGTGTCACTACCGTTCTATTTTTCATAGCAAAAGCACATATCTGCCCACAGTGGTAAGAATGTAGTTTGTTTATTATTCCTTTGGTGTGTGGCACTGTGTCAGTAAATATATTATCTATGCACCTGGCTGTGATCCTAGTAGGCTAAAAAAATATATTATCAAGATTGTATGATCAAAATTGGTTTTTAAATCTTAAACTCAACGATCTATCTTCTAATATATTTAAATTAAAATCACCACACACAACTACACTTTTGTTTGATTTACATACTTTAACATTACATTTACATACTTGAAGATCAAGGAACTAAGCGTATAACCCCGGCTGTCGTTGCCGTGATATCTAACAGTGTGCTTAAAATACAACACAACAAACTGACTGTTAATAAATAACTGTTAATGACACTACTAGTTGTTATGTAAATTTAATAACCCACTATTATATTTTAATGACGTATATAATTATAAATCTACTGACCGCACCGTTCATCGTACGTCACACCAGGTGAGGTGAGATGGGGCCTCTAGGCAATATACCTAGTTAACTTGTAATTAATGGCTTGCAGCTACTTGCAAAATGGGTTAAGTTAATAACGCTTCTATTAGCCTAACTTCAAAATTAATTTAACTTGCCATGACATAGCCTTTATAAGCTTAAAAATACTGTGCACATGTTTTAAGGTATAAGGATTGAACACGTTAAGTTCTGAATTTTTTGTTGACTATGACTAAGAAATTGATTGTCGGAAATAATCTATGACATTCTTATTCAATTATTCTATTAATTCTTTCATTATTTCATTCATTTATGGGAGAGGCCTATGTCCAGCAGTGGACTGCGATAGGTTGATGATGATGATTCTTGGGAAGGCTGTAAAACGTAAACATGCTATTGTGACGTCATTATCGCTAGTATAATTCCCGATTCATTTAAATATTTTTATGTATTTGATTATTTCTTATTTCCTGTTTTTGAAAATTTTATCTCTAAAAGGGTAAAATTAGAGATGAACAGATGACATTCATCCCTTATTTTACTTCTTAAGGAATCAAATTTCCCTTTCCTTAGGGATAGGATTAAAATCATCACATCATCGTCAACAGCTTATAAGAGGCCACTGCTGTATATAGGCCTCTCCTTAGAAAGGAGGTTTTGGCCTACTATACCATGATGGTCAGACGGGTTGGTATAGGGTTTGTGTCAAGTTTTCCTTCTCTTTGCAGTGCTGTTGCCCTGCGTAGTTTGGTCCCTTAGTCGGTTCTTACGACACCCACGAGATGAATAGGGGTGGTGACATTCCGTATTCTTAATCCGTCACCGCACGGATATCAATCATTACAAATCATCAGGCGCCAAAATATTAGTCTTTAGGTTCAGCGTTGATGAATCGGTCAGTTACTTAGGGCAAGGATTTTAAATGTACATATGTATGTATTAAGGAAAGTAACCGATTATATGTATAAGTACTTAAGAAGCTAAATATGTTTTGCCTACCCGGTGTTAAAACATTAATAGTTTAATCGGGAGAATAATACAAAAAAAATGTCTTTCTATCATCAGAAATGGGTATTTTTATCCTTGGACCGGACTGATTTATAATTTCATAAGGCACTTTGCGCGAGGCTTAAAAACACTAGCGATTTTCAGATTCTCAAATTAAAGCAGACAGACTGGTGTAAATTTTAATAAAGCGCCGAGATTGAGTGAAATGTTGAAATTTGACATCCTGCAGACACGTTAGGCTGGGAATTTACATTTACATCTTAACTTAAATCCTATTTCATTGCACTGCAAGTAATTCAATTATAATAATGTGTAAACTAAATTTTATAAGCAACATAAGAAATGGAAAATGTAAAAAATATTCAAAGATTTTGTAAGTGTCTCTCCACCGTCTCCTTCGCACGCGCTCTCGCTCCGTACCATGGCCGCAATCATGGTACCGAGCGAGGAAATAATACTGTAATATTTACATTTTAACTATAATTACGTGCAATGTAAAAACAACTTAAAGTTGGTGCTTAAACATGAATATTTTTGAACTCAAAACTACCTAGAGTATTAATGAAATACTTCCAAATACCACACCACAAAACTAAGAATATGCTTATAGTCAGACATACCAACAACTACATATTGTCCTAAATCGCATGTTGTCAGCTGCACTCACTTAAGACGATGATTAGACAAACACAGAATTTTCCTTTGTGACCAAACACGATGAAGTCACAGTCCCTCTGTGAAATACTTACAGTTGAAATGGCATTCTTACTATAGACCTCTAGAGATCCTAGAGTCTTGACATCTTTCCGATACATAATTATCATGCGACTTGGTATATTTTTCGTTTTTTTACCCCCCAAGTTCACAGCGTAATTATATTTTCTATTTGTTCTTACAGTTTGCTTACCCCGCACTTAATATAATCTTAAATACTCCCAGATAGAATCTCACTGTATCACAAGTCCGAAGCCATAGTAACCATATTCCGCTATTGCTACTAATGTATCCAAAGATTGGGGAAGTATGAGTCTATCTCGGGCTCCATGATACCATAATTTAACAATATTGTATTATTACTCGATTTTTCTGAAAATATTTTTCCATACATTGATTCAAATTCAAATTCAAAATATCTTTATTTCATAAAAAAATTAGAATTGAAATCGTCTTTTATGTAGACTCTGATGTATGTCTCACGGAGCAAATCAAACCACACGGAAAGATTAGGTTAAAATATTGTTTTTTTTTATTTATCCACACATAGCTTCGAAAACAGATAAACTATAAATTGATCTTATAAAGGTTCTTTTTTTTCATTTGAAGAATGGAACCCTAAAAACATAAAGTTATTTTTTACAATTTTAAATGGCTTACATACATAATTGAGTAGCCATTGCCACTTAAGAATGTCCAGATTAGGTTTACATTTACGAACAGTAATCCGAGACTTATCTGGAGATCCTTCGCGAAAAATCTCTTAAAGTACAGGTTACACGGGATATGCCTGCGACGGGCATACCCCGTTCACACACTATTTGTTCTTATTTGAGCTCTGATAATCTTCCAATTTCATTCCCTCGTTCGCTTTAAATTTTCTCTTGGAATATACTTGGATGTGATAAGTTTATGGAGGCGGTTGTTCATTGGATTATTTATATTTTCAACTCAATTAAATACATATAAAACAACGAAAGAATATTTATTATAACTTTTGTTATAAGGTTTACATGAAATTTTTTGCTTTTAAAAAAAAATTGTTTGTTAATTTACTGACATGTTTATTTATTGTTTTTATCCATAAATATTTTGTTTCTTACAAACTTAAAATCTACTATTTGCTTTTTGAACAAAATGTTTTCCACCGTTATATTAAGCTAAAATCAAATTTGTAAATTGTGTTTGTGTTTTTTTTCCTCCGAGCCTTTTTTCCAAACTAGATTGGGGTTGGCTTTAAGTCTACTATGATACGGCTGAACGAGGAGCGACTGAGACCTCCGCAACCGAATTACTAGGCGATAATCAAAGTTCTGTAGAAAGACTATTGTCGGACTTTTTAGGGTCTAGGTACCCGTAACGATTGTCACAGAGGTTCGAATGGGAACCGTGACCGACGTCGTAACGTGCTCTCGGCACGGAGGGGTCTCAACGTGTCAAGAATGGTCACCTATACAGAGACTGACCTGGCTACGATTGCTTAACTTTGCAATGTGTTAAACTACTCGGTTACCACTTAGAAACGAGCGAGGAGCTCGTGTGACTAAGTTAAGAAAATTATGGCAATGTAAGTAATTCTCACTGAAAAGACAAAGAATCATTTTAAAAGTAGTGGTATAGTATTAACTTAGTCCATATGTCTTGTATGGTATACAATATAAGTACGTAAAGCCACATCCAATTTCCGATATCATCGCACCAGCCAACCTTACTAAGGATTTCTGACAGTAAAACTAAGGTATATTCTTGAGAAGCCTGCATTCATGATAGAGATTTTATCTGACTTTTTCGCGTCATGTTAATGAAATTTTGAAGTAAAATTTAAAAAAAATTCTCATTAGGGTTCAGGTATCTAATAGGATAGTCTAATATTGATAAGCTAATTGACAAGTAACGATCTTCTACAGACGCTAGTCTCCCTGCGATCATTGAAACATAAAGCAATTTAAAGATATGTAAACTTATTACATGATTGCGTTCATTCCCATAATATAACATGAAACAAGTTTGAAAATAAATAAAATATGTTATTTACATATGAAAAACCGCACCTTTTAAAGCAAGGCGTCGGAGCGCGAAGCGTGCTGTAATATCTTTTACCATGCCAGCATTTACTTATTAATTTAAAAGCTGTGATGCTTCACTAAGTTTATACAATAAATTTGCACTTTGTGGGATTAGTGTCTAATTCCCGTGTGTGTTTATTGGTTTAGTCCACGTTCAACCCCCACAGATTGTCGTTTATGTTATTGATACTAAACTGCTATCAAAATCTTAGAGGTGTTCGTGGTTTTTACATTTATTTAGTACTTATGAAACAAAGCTTTCTGTTATTAGCAATTAGACGCGCTAATGTGAGCTCCAGTAGATGCCGTGTTTGTCTGAGCCAGTTCGCTTTCAAAACTAGTTGGGATTTAACGAATTACAAAGTAAACATATTTAATATTTTTATTGTATTTAAGGCATCGAAAGGAAAAGGGAGTACTGCTGATAAAAGGGAGGTAGGTAAGTGGATTCAATGTCATAAAACTTTACATAATTTATTCTACGATATAGTTTTTAAATTACAAATAATAGATGACAAGCAATCAACTAAAAAACAAATGAAAACTCAATAATTAAAAAAGTTTAAAAGTACATAAATCTAAAAATTTTTTTTTCATAATTTAGAATAGAAAGTAAAAACTTTACCGGAACCAACATTAGACTGTTTAGTTACTTATGAAACATGTTATTGATTATCAACATCTGGATACCCACACCCGGTTTAGTGACAATCAACAACTATTTATTTCATTTTCTATAACCCCACGTATCTTCATCGCACACCGACATTGATAGAATTGTTGACAACAGCTTTCAATTGGACGAAACACGCTCGCGCATGGACTACTTCCTTTCTGAGCGTGTAATGTACCTACGCCGTAGAAGTTAGCAGCCACCTTCTTCTAACGATTGAATTAAAACGATAAACGGCTTGTTATGCAGAAATGACTGGTAAAAACTGAAGTATTAATGTTAAACTATCAAAAGTGATCTGGAGATCATAATACTTCGAGAAAGACACCTTATTACTGCAACAATTAGAAATACTGTCAAAATTCTAACTACGTTATAAGGTTCATCTCATTCATCATCAACAGCCTTTATTAGTTCACTGCTCGACATAGGCCTCTCCTTAGAAAGGAAGTTGTTCTTATTGCGAATACCGTCGGGTACAGACGGGTCACCTGATGGTAAGCAACTACCGCCGCCCATGGACACCTGCAACTCAAAAGTCACAAGTGCGTTGCCGCCCTTGGAGACCCTAACGCTCGAGTCAGCGGGAGGGGGGATTTGGGCTCCGGTAACTTCAGTCACTCAGTGAAAGGCAACGAAAGAATTCCTTAATACCGGTACCGTATAATTTTTGTTAAGTTTATTGGCTTTGCCATTTGATTAGCTGGTGGATACAATCGCTTTTGCATAATTCAGGAGTGCTAGAATTGGTCACCATTGTGATTGTCCCATTTCTTTATATTATGTTGATAAGAAAACCAATATAAAAACTTATCTAATCCCAGTTTGCCCAGCCACTGAAGAAATAAACAGAGGCAAGTCCTAGTCATTACGTTATATTACTAACGTATCCAGAATACGTGCCGAAAAGGAATTTTTGGACGCAGTTGTGGATTAATATAAAAAATTGCTTACATTAGATTTTATATGTACACGTTTGAGAATAAGTTGATTTCATTTTTAATACTTTTACGTTTTAATACTACTAGACTAGACAGTAGTAACTAATTTTGTAAAATTACCTTAATAAAGATTTTATTATTTCTCGTAAGACGTCTTGTCTTGTGCGTGAAAAATATTTTCATAAAATTTACAAATTAATTAAATATTTTAGAGGCTGTTGCTTTGCAATGGTAATCATTTTGCTTCTTTTTTAACATTTCTTCTTCTAAATTTAATTTAAAGGCATAAGTACCTAGTCTTTACTTTTATAAGATTTTTTTTATTTTATTTTGATATTTTACCTTATAAGTTTAGAAAAAAAAATTGGAGACAAAAGCACATATTTAAAAAGTAGATTTCAATAAGAAGACAGTAGAAATTCAGCTCAATAATAAAAGACCAAATTCTTGCAATTGTGATCCGATGAATATATTGAATTATAGACTCTTTAGCATGGAACTTAAAATCTATTGTATAAAAGTAAACAAAAAATCTCTGATAGCAAAGAAAAGATTAATGAGACTGCCTTTAAAGAGTTAATTCGTGAATGATAGGGATAAAATACGTCCAACATAGATTGAAAGAGCTCTGGGAAATCAGTTAACAAACATGAACAGTAGACTGAAAATAAAGCTAAGATACAATGAACTTTTCTACACTGAAAATGGTCGTGAAATCGTTTAGAGTAAAAATGCAAAAAAAGAATGCAATACTGTAATATTTATACCAAAACATATGTACATAATCATCTGATTGTTTGGTCATTTATACATAATTTGTAAAACTTAAACGGTTAATTTCGTGTAGAAAAATATTCCTGTTTAAATACATGATGGACAGAAAGTTTAAAGAACATAATGAATGAGTTATCTACAAGTGGTTCTATAAAACCGTTAATGTCTCTCAAAAAAAAAGAAATGGTCCCAAAGTCTGGTGGACATGCCCAAAGGATAATATATATATTAAACTAATAATTTCTATTCACGAACCATTCTTTCATACACTGAGTATATTTAGTATGCAAAGATAGTAAAACTAATAATTATGCATTATCTAGTTCTTCACTACTTAACTGCAGAAGAACCAGCTCGTACGTTAATATTGTACCTGCCATCTGAAAAAAAAGATTGCAAATTATAAAATAGAGCAAAAATATACCGTAATAAATTCTCAGGGTCGAAAAATATTCATTTACCTACGCGCTTTAAGCGCTTTAATGTGTTTATAGATAGTATAAAGAAGTGATAAAGACTGAAGAAGAACGTTGATTACGTATATAAAAAGTTTATGTGACTATACACACATAATTATATTGAGTTTAATTTCCCGGTAGGTATTTAGAGGTGAATTAAACGCCCCGTTCTCCTTTTTTTGAACATATTGTTGTACTATAAGCTAGACAAGCCCATTACTGTCAATCAAGTACTTCGGTAAAGATATGGAAACCGGGAGAAGGGTAGTTCGTCAGAAAAGGAAATGGTAGTGAATTGGGTCTGGGAATGGGGTATTACCTAATTGATATAAAGTTTCTTGATTGATTTATTGTTTCTCTATAATAACAAGCTTCTTAACCAATCAATAAGTGAACTAATGCCTCAGTTGAGAACTACCTCTATTGAGCTAATATTAGTAACACCTTTGCAAATTAAAAACGTATTTGCTGCCATGATCAACCAACAATGAGATTACTTATCAACAGTTTGATACTCACTGATAGAACTAAATCTCTAGTTATGTGAAAATATTTCATCCCGGTGAGGGCTACTACGTCATCATGTACTTGGTCCAAAAACCTTCGAACCTGTCGAAAATGGATATTCAATTAGGCTGTCTGTTATACAAAGACGTAAAAGTTACGTCTCTGTTATTTAAAGTTAAATCGCACTTTTACAATGATTTGTAATGCAATCAAATATAAAAAAATCGATTTCGAATGTAATTATTCCAGTGCTTTTATATAATATACGTAGGTAGGTATGACTTCGGTACATACAGTTCAGGTCAAAGTGAGTTCGGAGCTTAAAAGTAGTGAACAAACCTCCAATGAATAAGCACAAGATGGCACTCTATAAAGACCAGAAGCGGGCACCGAAGAGGCGACATTCACACTCGCTGCTACGAGACACATGGTCGTAAACCTCACTATCAAGAATATCAGGGAAAACACAACGTATATAGAACGCTCGTAACCGTGAAAGGGTCTGTAACATATGAAATAGATTAGCATATTATAATACATATAACTTGAAGGCCCGGTTTTGAACAATGTGAATAACATATGCCTGGTACTAAGTTCCCGCTACTACTTACAACTTACCAAAAGTGATAAACTTTTATTCAACACTCAGTTGTCTTGTACTGTTTGTATCTCTACCGAATATTAATGTTGGAGTCTGGGGATTTGGTAAACGAATAAGTTTTGCTCACATCAACAGCCTTTAATAGTCCACTGCTGGACATAGGCCTCTCCTTAGAAAGGAGGTTTTGGTCTACTATACCACGCTGGCCAGACGGGTTGGTATAGGGATTGTATCAAGTTTTGCTCATTGCAGATTTTATAAGTGAACTGTGGTATTACATAAAACGCATCCGGACAGGTTTCATAATAGAGTATAAGACAGGTAGTACTTAGTTACTAAACAAATATTGGTTAGCTTATGCTAGCTAATATTATACATTCTTGTATTTAATACTCTATCAAATGCATTTATGTAAGAAATGTCCCGTAGAAGAAACTATAAAGTCTTGTTAGTTAACTAATGAAATAACATTTAGATTTTACAACATTTTGGAATGCGTTGGGACTTGCGAGACTTGGGTTTTTTATGTGTTATATTTTTGATGGGTTCTTTGTTTATAACATGCGAATGCGCCTATTGTCCGATGCACGCAGAGACCGCAGAGATAAAAAACAGTACAGCGTGTACTGGGCATTTCGTGAATACACGTTAAAAATAAAGCTGCGTGAAAATGTATACCTAAACCCGGCGTTTTTTATTTTTATAATTTTCAAATAACCCTGAGTAACATCATAAAGTAGAACCTGAATTGTCAATTTATCTTTTTACTCATTTGATATCTTGATATCAACATTCAATTTAAATAAAATGGCAATAGCTAGAAATGACGTCACGAAATAGTATTTCAAACAATACAATAAAAAAATTACAAATCTAAGTAAATAAACTATATTAAGTACCCACAATATAACAGGTAATAATAGCAATAGTCCTTTCTAGTCTGTTTGAAATCGGTGCCAAGCCCGATGCACAATAAGTAATACTGGTCTATGTCAGCATCATATTAGCTCAACACTTTTAACTCCTAAATGTCAAGAACCCTTCTATCATCAACTCAGCAACATGTCATAATGACTACTAAACGCAAATACCTATGTATATAGCTAGAAAAACAAGCTAAAACACTTTGTCGGGCCTGTAAAATTTGGGGGTTTCCCTCGATTTCTCTAGGATTCCATCATCAGATCCTGATTTGGTGGTAATGGGACCACCTCGGGAGCATAGCCTTTCCACTACAAAAAGATTTTTGAAAATCTTTCAGCAATTGACGGCGATATCACATAACAAACATTTAAAAAAAATACAGACTAATGGATAACCTCCTCTTTCGTGTTTTTGAAGTCGGTTAAAAAAAGACAATGATTGGACTCGTCAGATTGTATTGAGACGAATCTAACGTTTAAGGCTTCAAAGCTTTTTAGGACACAGAGCGTGCCAATGCAAAGCAAATATACATACATATATAGTGTATACTTTTTTCTATATGCTTATCGCCGGTTTGTATGTGTGGGCATACAAACATACACGCAAAAAACATAATTCTTCTTTCGGCCTGTCGGGTATTAAGAAACAAAAGACAGAGTAAGGTGGTCATGGATGTGCCTGGATATGTCTAAATTCAATAACATCTTATGTATGGCATGGTTTCTTTAAAAGCTTTTGCCGCTGTGCTTGACCAAATCATATATAAAACCTGCCTAGATGGTGCAGTGGAAGCGTATGCGACTTTAGTGCAGTGGTCTCGGGTTCGATTCGACCAATTATTTGTATGATCTGCAAATATTTGTTTCTAAGTTTTGGTATTTGATTTATATGTATTTACGAAAAAAGTATATAAGTTTTTCTGTCACTCAATCTAGCTTTCATAGTACAAGCTCTGATTAGTTTGCTAGATGGCGTTGTGTGTCAGATGTCCGAAATATAAAAAAAAGCTTTTGCCGCTGTGGTTGACCATAATGTCATTTATGTAAAACCAATTTTAAAGCAAGTTTAATTTAAATAAGATATACTATACTATTCATATTAGCATATATTTCACTTACGTAGTACGATGATATGGACATTCTTCCAAACTTTTATGTTGTGGTTTTATACCGTTGCTGTAACAAAACAATAAAAGTCAGTAAAGAGTTTAAGAGAAAGTATACCGATGATCAGGGATATAATCTTTAAAAAAATAAGTTCCCTGCGCTTTTCTGGATATAGAAGATATAAATTATTTGCCTATTAGTCGATAAGGCACCAAATCACCCAAAATTGTCCTAAACTAATTAACAATTTGTTAGTCCCTATCAACAATATTGTAGGCAATGTCTAATTTGTTGTTAAATTCCTATTTTCAAATAAATGCGGATACTATTTTATAAATGTAGAATTTAATGCATAATACGTCATGTTATAATCGTTGCATATTTACATGCATATTCTTTTCAGATTCTTAACAAACTCCGTAACGATCTGCTCATAGTTTTGGATATGAAACCACAGACGCGAATGTAATGTAATTTTGTAATTTATGAAGTCGCATATTTAAGTCTATAGTAATAAATAATACAGGAGTTGAATATTGAAGTCAGTCCAAAAGTTATTCTAGTTTAGTTTAAAGGAATTTTGCAAATTAAATATAGGTGCTTTTGAGTAGTTTGAAAATAAAATATTTTGCACTTAAGTTTATTGTCATTATCGTGTATTATCAATACAATTTGAAATACGGTTTGTAATTTGTAATATTATTTGTTTAAGGGGTATTTAAAGATACTTATTATAGAATCACAGAACTACACTTACTCCAATACATTGAATATCTGCACACATATCCAGGAAAGATTGTTAGCGAAAGACAAAAGTATGAGTCCACTGAACACGTCGTCAAACCGTCTGATGAGACGAGTTGCTCGGCTGTAGTCCTCTCGAAGAGTGCCCCAAATAGATGGAGATAGATAATTCTAGAATACGATTATATACTTCAAACAAACGAAGAGCTGTTGCCCTGGAAAGTGTAGTACTAAAACACCAATTATGTAAATCTTTTAGGGACTTTTGGAAAATATGGCAGAAAAATGGTGGTATGGCTTCAGAGAGCCCTTTGCGAAATAAAATGTCTTAATTTTTTAAAGTTTATATCAACATCAACAGCCTTTAATAGTCCACTGTTCGACATAGGCCTCACCTTACAAAGGAAGTTTTGGCCTACTATACCACTCTGGCCAGACGGGTTAGTATTCCTTTTTGGATTTCAATTTTATTGATACTTAAAAAAGAAAAAGTATTTAAATGCAATAGCTGTGAATTTGAGATCGTGAATCACTAAAAGTTAACCTAAAACTTAACCCTATTAATTAGTAGGCGCTGTATAGTAGGCCAAAACCTCCTTTGTAAGGAGAGGCCTATGTCCAGCAGTAGACTACTAAAGGTTGTCGATGATGATGATGATAAACTAAAAGTTGACCGAACCGTACCGCCGACAGTATAAGATCTTATAATCTTTGTAGACAGTAGTTTATTCATGAAACACACCTTATCAGCAACCCACAGGATTTTCTTATTGATCTCTTTTAACATCGACGTCAAGTATAAACTTATACAAATGATGTATACATCCGCCAGGGTCCAGTTCGCTGAAGTAAATATGTTATTCACCTAAATACATAAATTAGTAAAAATGTGTAATTGTTTCATTAAGAGTGTAGCAGTAATTGTATTATTAAAATTATCAAATTAGGAATCATCAATCAATATCAAATAATAAAAAAAATACTTCTTAAAAACATTACCATCTTGAATGCGCCAATATTATGATTAATTTAATCTTAAATTACATAATTTTATAATGTGACAAACATACCCAAATAAAAATAAAAACTATTTTCAAAACTGGTTCATACACTGATATTATTAACAAATCTTTAATCATAGTGTTCGCAATCTTAATGTTTATAAAACTTTTAAATTTGAAATTTTCTTTTCAAATTTAAATTAATGCGATTAACTGCCTAGCGATGAATATAACATTTGACTAAAATAATTTGATGTTTTATTAAGGATAAAATAATTATTATGTACTTAATTTTTATGTATGATGCAGGGCAATAAAAATACACGTATACCTGGAGTAAAATGGCGATTGGTATGCTGTAAGGAATACCGATTTCAAAGATCGCTGGGTCCATGTTCCTAACGATTATCTCAATAGTATTATAATCAACTATCTCTGCGCATTCAAGTACTTCCGATATCTCCCACATGAAATACACTACGTATTCCACTGAAATAAGAACATTAGGTAATAAGATTATTGGTCAAAAGTACTTCCCTAAAATATAGGAAATAATTAAGACAGCAAAGAGTTTTGCTCTACCAAAGAGCACACTGCATTTCACTGCAGTTTAATAAAAAAAAACCTACTTTATGTTGGTTATAGGTTTGTTAAAATAATCATTTAACTTAGCACCCTTCCCTTACACCCTTAATACCAACGAGCACGCGGTAAGAACACTTTATGAAATTATAAATAAAAAAAATGTTTTTTTTATTGTTTTAACATAAATGTTTCAAAAATGTTTATAACTTATCTTAAACTAAACATAAGGGTAAGTATAATTCTTAAAACCAGAATAACAAATATATTGATATTAAGTTTTGTTCCATAAGCAACGTAGCACTTAAGAAGATTAACATAATGTTATAAAGTCCGCACTAGTAATAACTGTGTTGCGGCAGTGTAGTTATCATCGAACTAAGTGATCATTTTTAAAAGTTACGTGTTTTATGAGCTAGTGCTTAACTGTACGGCTCATTGTTAATTGGTTGCTTAGTACGGTAAGTATAGTATATGCGACATTAATACATAAAATGAAAATCCAAATTCAAACAAAGTGTATTGTTTTTAAATGAGAAACTAAGATACTGTGTCAACTAAATTAATAATAATAACAACATTTTTTTCTTTTGATTTTGTGTAGTAATTACATAATATCAATACTCATACATATATACCAAAAACTAATCATTAATTAATATTATTATTTTATATTTACACTATTGATTTGATGTATCTATATTGATAAATTAATATACATATCCATGTATATAACGTACGAGTATATATATCTATACATATCACAATTTAATATTAATGTAATTGTAAGTTTGGTTTTTAAGTATAATCTTTATGTTAAAACATACTTAATATAAATATAGAAGGAAACATAATATATAGCTACATATTTTATATGTATTTATAGTTTAATAGTTATAGTTTCAGTAGATTCATGGTCTAGTCTAGTAATATTAATAGGTAATTTGTTATTATTTTTTGCAAGCTTTAAAAGTTTTATTTCTGAGGGACTGGGTAGATATTTCACCAAGTTTATTATATAGCCCAGGACCCAAATATGGAAAACAATTCCGAGCAAACATACTCGTAGTTCTAAAGCGAGGTACTGTGTAAACAGTAGCACGTCGCCCTCTTGAAATAACTAAAAGTGGTGTGATTCAGTTTTGCCTTAGAACTATTCGTCATATAAATAGCTGACGTATTTTCAATACCTACTGAAAATTCCTTGTACAGGTCTGAGGTCGGGTAAAAGATTTTTTTTAAATTTAGGACTTTTATTACTGCTCTTTGTGCCCGTTCTTCTCTGATGAGTTTATTTTTTTTAGCACCACCCCATGCTGAGATACCATATGTTAATAAGAACTGACACAAAGAGTAGTATACTATCCTATTTATTGTAGGAACCGCATGTGTATTATTTACTTGAAACTACTCATGATTTTCCTTAATCATTTCAATATAACACTTCCAGTTTAAGTTACGGGCTATAATTACACCTAAGTATTTAATAGAAGAGACAGCAGTAAGTTGGATACAATCACAAGACGAGTTTAAACTACATGAATGTACATGTGCTTTTATGCCTAAATTTATAGGTTGTTTATTATCATATATACTACAAGTAATGTATTTTCTTTTTTTTAACTTAATTGTTAGCAAGTTTATCAAGCCAATTAAGAACCATCTTTACTCAATTTTCAGTGACTTTATGGACCTAATCCCACGATGACGCATTAAAGAAGAGTACAGTGTCATTAGCAAATGATAATATTTTGGCGTTATTCATGATAGTTTCACTAAGAGCGTCCAGGTAAATTAGAAATAGGGTCGTTCCAAGGACTGAGCTCTGTGGTACATCCAAATCCATACTTAAAGGTTTACGTATTACACCATTGATTGCCACAGATTGAGTACGATCACTGAGATAAGACTCAAAAAGTTTTAGAGGGATACCACGTATACCTGCACCTTCCAGTTTTCCAAAGCAATCTAGTAATTGAGACAATATCAAACGCTTTGGCGAGAACTAAGAATACTGTTTAATATTTATTTCAGATATCCAAATTTTGCGTGGCATGTTGAAGTAGATCTTCAATCGCATCAGAAGATGATAGTTTCTGTCTAAAACCATACTGGTTTGAGGATAAAAAGGAATACGCTTCGAGATACTTTGTTACTCTTGTATTAAAAGCTTTTTCAATTATCTTACCAAGAGTGGGAAGAAGAGAGATTGGTCTATAATTAGTGACACTATCTCTATTTCCAGATTTGTAAATAGGTACGACGATTGACTTTTTTTAAAGCCTTTGGAAAGATGGCAGTTGAAAAGCACAATTGCATAAGTAAGAGATTGATGCCGCGAATAAATTCATTCATTGTTTAATAAAGATTGAAGATCCCATCCCAGCCAGACGCTAAGGTGTTTTTTAGAGACTTTATAATTTTTTTAATCTCATACTCGTCTGTAGGTAACATTGAATTTAGTGGGCTATGTGTATACCTGAAATTACTACCTAAGTCATTTTTATTTTTCTTTAATGTTGATAATATGTTATTAGCAAGTCACTTTCCCTCATAGGTAAAATATTTATTTTCAGAATTTACTGAGGCCTCGGGAGTGTGTTCAATACACAACAAGTCAACGGCAGTTTGAGATTTAATATTTAGGTTACATATCTGGCTTATTGTTTTCCATGTGTTTTTTATATTATATTGATGTTTACATATTACAAGAAGTTGACTGCAAAATTTCTGTACCTTTTGTATGTCACTTGTAGAATAAGATTGTTTAGGATCCTTTCTAAACTTTGCGTGTAATTTGTCTCTCCACCTAATGCTAAATGAAGAGGCCCTGGGTCATCCATGGTTTTATATTTACCTTTCTAGTACCATCTTTCAGTTTGGAAGTACAATGGTCTAATATAGTAGATAATATATTAAGAAATTCATTTGTTGCACCCTCAGGGCACGTGTTATTATACATTTCTGTCCAATCAATACATTTAAGTTAATCGACCGCTGTAGCATAATTAATTTTAGTAATATTTTTACGTGTTATTTTTAACTGTTGATTACCTTTTACCGCGATAACAATGAGATGAAGGGTTAGTAAAGGTTGAGTTACAAACAACCGTAGTTACTGTTTAGCCGATTTTAAGAAATGAGTGGTCACAACATTTTGATTGTCTGGTAGAGAAGTTATGACTGGGTAACAGTCCAATTATGGACAGCTGGTTTAGGTAATCTGGAGTCCTTGATTCTTGATTACCCTCCTTTATGTTAAGGTTTATATCTCCCGTTACTATAAGAATTTTGAAATGTCTTAGATTACATAAAATATGATCGAGGGATTCTTTGAAGCGGTCGATGGTCATTAGTATATATTAGGACGCCACTATTTTGTTATTAGTTGAATGGCAAATATAATTAGGTAAACTAGGTATCTTATTTAATTTAAGGAGCCAAGATTACATCAAAATTATGAGATCAAACTTATTAGTCTTGCAAGATGAATGTTAAAATCGTTAAAATTATAATCTATGCTTCGAATATTCTGTACAATTATGTTTAGGTTATTATGAGATTGACCCAGCAGACTCTGGCAATCAGCAGCTTCGTCTATCAAGAACGCTTTACCATTTTTTTTTTACGTGTGGAAATCCCCTCGGACCGTCACCCCGCCGGGGCTCTTGTTCGGCGGGGCGGTGTGTCGGACTCGAACCGACTAAAATCACACGGTGTGCCCTCTTTGCGCTTCCAGTTTAGGAAGATCCCCTCGGATACCACCTGTCGGTGGCATGTCGGACTCGAACCGACTAAAACCGCACGCCGTCTCGGGTACTAATAGCCGGGGAACCAGGTATACCCTAGAAAGGAAGTCCCTGGTGCAATCAAATGCACCTAAAACGATGTACACGGTTACGTTCACTCAATGTCCAATGAAGTTGTCCCTCCCTCTGTCCTCGAAGTTGTTGACGAATGTGTCTACCTAGGACAAACGGTCCAATTAGGTAAGTCCAACTTCCAGAAAGAGGTCAATCGTCGAATCCGACTCGGCTGGGCAGCGTTAGGGAAATTACGAAACGTCTTCACGTCCAAAATACCTCAGTGCCTAAAGACGGAATGCTTCAACCAGTGTGGGTTACCAGTGATGACCTACGGAACTGAGACGTTGTCTCTTACTATGGGCCTAATCAGAAAGCTCAGAGTCGCTCAGCGTGCTATGGAAAGGGCTATGCTTGGCGTTTCCCTGCGTGATCGAATCCGCAACGAGGAGATCCGCAAGAGAACAAAGATGGTCGACATAGCCTAACGGATTAGCGCGCTCAAGTGGCAATGGGCAGGGCACATAGCAAGGAGAACTGACGGCTGATGGGGCAGCAAGGTTCTCCAATGGAGACCACGTACTGGAAAGCGCAGTGTGGGACGACCGCTTACCCGATGGACGGTCGACCTGGTAAAGGTTGCCGGAAACCGTTGGATGCAGGCCGCAATCAACCGTCCCCGCTGGAAATCATTGGGAGAGGCCTATGTCCAGCAGTGGACAAGCATAGGCTGAGCACGTCAATGTCCAATGATGAATGTTATTAAAGTTAAGAGTCTGTTTTTAACTTTTTCTCACTAAAGTATTCGTACTCTTGAGTGCGCACTCCTATAACATTTGTATCTTTAGTTTCAGTTGACGCGGACATTAAAAAAACAAAATTTTGAATATACAAATAGTAAAGTCGAATTAAAGTGTTTTTTAATATAAACCTTCTTTGGGAATGTAATCAGTTTCAGATGAGGTAAAGGAAAAAGGTAAATTGCAGAAAGAAAAACGAGGGATCTGATGTAAAGTATTCCGCAAGTTGCAAGAGCAGAACTATATATGCAGTAGTTCGAAGAGGTCGATATCGCATACCTGTAACATTCCGCGCCACGAAATCAAAGAACACAAAAATATCAACGTCAATTACTACTCGTATTAAAAAATACAAACTTACCAATAGCTAAAATCAAAAACACTATGGAGGATAAGTCGCACCAAAAACTTATTCCTTTATCAATATATTTGTCCAGGTGGCAATTGAGTATTTCTTTTAATAATATTTCCCATTTACTTGCAATTTGGATGAAAATAATCGTAGTGCACACACTTGCTAAAGAGAGACTCCAAAATACTAAAAATATAATCGAAAAGTATTGTTAGTATTTAGTTATAAGTACCTCTGTTTTGGCTTCATAAATGAAATTGTTAAATTTAGTGTCATATTTTTCGTAACAGTACATGTTTTGACACATAGCCAGCTAGCTATACCTGATAAACTAGGCTTTCCTAGCTGGAAAGCTTGTTTTATCGTGTTATGTTGACAATAATATCTACATAATAATGTGTATATCCGTAAACATGGCTGCCTAACACACTAGTAAGCTACGTAACTGACATAAGTAAATGAGAATTTCTTAACTTTGTTACCTCTTCTACCTTTTCATATTTAAAAGCTTTGTTGTATATTTCTGTAGAATCAATAAAGGTTTAAAAAAATCTAATAGTACTTCTCTACTATTTCGGGATAATAAAAATATTTTTTTGCCTTGTTGTTATTTACAGACGTATACTCACTGAAAAACTTAACGGTATAACCTGGATGAGTAGGATGATGATTATACACAGAGACGATTGATATAAGTGCTTGAAAGGTCGCTAGTATTATCGTATAAAAGAATCTCCACGAGCACAATTTGAATCTGTAATAAAATAAAATAAAATGTTTTGTTAATAATTCCAAACTAGACAGAACCTGTGCTATGGTAACAACACTGCTGATAAACATACTTAAATATTTTTAAATACGTACATATTATAGATACATTACACCCAGAAGGAAAAGTTGAAACCAACCCGTCGCGGTATAATAGGCAAAATCCTCTTTTCTAAGGAGAGGCCTATGTCCAGAAGTGGAGAATTAAAGGCTGCCGATGTGATGTGATGTTAGGAGTTCTATTTTGTTATCCTGACGTGCAGATCATCTGGATGGCTTAGTGATATAGGCGGTAGCCAAACCGCCGCTTTGTACTGCGCTGAGTGTTGTGTATTTGATGAAAGAACACTGTGTGATTTACAAATTGTTGTACTGTGTCAAGGTGTTCGTTGTGTAGGTTTCATGTGTGTTTGAAAGTATGTGACATAGGATATATTCATAATGCAAGAGGTATCTTTAAAAAATATTAAAAAACGTCCATCCATGTAATAGCAACATGCAAACCTTCGCTGGAATGAAGTTTAGCGTAATTAATTCAAGTGATGCATTTCTTTTTACAATTTTGTGCATAAATCAATAAAAGAAATCAAATTATATTGTTTACCTTATTTTTGCAATATCGTTATTCAATATTGCTGTGACTGGATTCAAACCCACCCACTGTCCATATCGAAGTATTGCTTTCATTGCTCTTTGAAAAAGATCGAACTGAGTATTTTCCTTGTCATTGTTACTATTGATTGTATACTCTTCATTTTTATCTAAACTACTTTCACAATAATTCATGTCATCTTTTTTCTTATCTTCTACCCAACTTCTGAAATCTTTTTTTAAATAAGAGTCTCTGAAAGTCAAAGAAACTAGTCAGGAAAACAATTATTGTGTTTTGTATTATAGTAAAATTAAAAAGTCATATGAGTTGCAAACTTACTCAGGTATTTCTTGTTGCAATTGGCAAAAGGCATTTGCATTGTCTGAAAATGAGATGTATCTACACTATTTATTAAGATTTACAGAGATTTACATTTAAACCAACATTATATATCTACATGTTAATATATCATATATTAAATTTATGATTTTTGATATTTGATTTTTTAGCAAAAAAGAACAAACAGAAATATAAAACTTGATATAAATGAAATCTATCAGGGTGAGCGAAGCGAGCCCTAAAACTATCCCACAATTTTAGCATTTTGGTGGTACACTTTACTGAGAAACTATCAAACTTTTAGTTTTGGGCTTTGGCAGAGTAACTTCAGCTCATATCTAGATGTATTATCAATCTTAAAAATATTATATTATACACATTTAACAGAAAGAGAAGACAACAATTTTTGTTGAAAATAGTTTTATTGTATTACTTACGTCATGTGTTAGAAAACTAAAGAAATAGTAGGTATCGATGTACACAGCATGGAATTAATTTTATCAATCGCGAAAAAAATTGCGAGCCCTCTTGAAGATCCGCTTTATAGTATATATTTATATAAAATAAATTTATATTATGTATAAATTTATATATTATACTAGCTAACCCGCGCAACTTCGTCTGCAAACTCAAAAGGGATAAATTTGGCCCATGTTTATAACAGGAAGGAACATTTTCTGAGGAAGACTATTGAGATAAATGGGCTCTCCAATGCTAAAATATTTTTTCAATTAGAAAAGCAGTTGCTGAGATTAGCGCAATCAAACACACTTTTTGAAAAAGGTTCGGCAGTACCAGAGATTAACCGAACATACGAACTCACTAACTTTACCTCTTTATGATTTTGGTACAGATTACATAACTGGTGAATGAAATAAAACAAGAAATTCTAATTATAAAAATGTTTTGATGTTACTAGGAAGTAACATCAAATCCCAAATTATTAACTTTTTTAATTGTGCCATTTAATGTAATAAGGGTAAGGCTGTAAAAGGTACTTTTACAATAATTTTAATGATAGCACTTGTTTTCACAGTTATCTCAACTGTACCAAGTGCTTCTGTTTACTTGTACGCGTACTTCTTTTATTTTCGTACTATAGTACAAGTCTACATTAAAGTTATTCTGCAGCTGTACAGAGTCCTCCTGTGACATGGACTTGCTTATTCGTGGCAATATTAAGTCGTCTTTCAACATGAGGAGTATCGAAAACTGTTCAGGAAATTATAAAAAAGGCAATTGAATAAAAGTGGTTTCAAGTGGGAACCCTGCAGAAGACCAGATATTTTTTATTTTTTTGTAATCTGAACTCATAGTTATAAATATAGTATAGGCTAAGGCAGCCTTCGATTTAATCAGTAAATATGTTTCTTGAATTATCAGTGACTGCATTTTGCGAAAAATTCTATAGCAAGCACATAGCAATGTAAAGAAAAAGCTTAATTTATTTTAGACAATAATTGACACCGTCTATGTTAAGTTTTAACAGCTCGAATTTCTCATGGAATTACAGACTTGAAGTAATCACTCTATCAATATATTAATCTCAATTATACATAAATAGGAAGTAAACATGATAACGAAATAAAAAATCTACTAGAAAAAATGTGCTGCTGAAAACTGTAAAGCAACAATGCTTTTGTGTTTGGAATTGTCAGTAGAATTGTCAGGGAGTAAGCTGACGAGTGATTGAAGATGATGGAAGAAGAAAACTCATTGCGCCGACCCCAAAACTAATTTGGGAACTGGACAAGAAGTTGATAAAAACAATGAAGTTAATTCACTATTGGTATTACCACCTACAAACTACTGACTACCAGGTTTCCATTTTATCTGTAGTACTTAAAAAGGTACTAAAATACTATTTTCTATTGCAGTTCTATATATGAGTTTTTCGAATGGAAGCCACTTCGATTAATCAATATTGTATTTAGCATCTACCTAGATGTTTGTGACTGTTTATCTCATTTTCCATATTCACTGACACTGACAGTGTGTTTGATGTCAGCCCGCAAGCCAATGTCAATCAGAACTGAACTCCCATGTTGTTTTTGTGACATTTCAATAAATTGTTTTAATAGATATATTTTCATAACCAACATTCTATGAATATTTTATCGAATTGTCTACGAAGGTGTGATAGATTTGATGTTTATAAACAAAAGTATGTCTGTTTAACTATGCAAGTAGTCTGTATGTTTGTCTATTTGCTGTTTGACATTTGATTGAGAACTTAACAATGTCAGAGAACATACAATTTTACTTTAAAACGTGCAGTAAGGAAATAAACAACCTTTTTTACTATTTTTAAACATTGTAATATTATAAATGTAGTACCATTTCTTTCAATATAAATAATTAATGTTTTACATTACATTTGTAGAGACCAATAAGTTTTGTTCTATTATATTACTGGCTGGTACCACCGACTTCGTTTGCGTGGAGTTTGAAAAGCGCTGCCTCAGGGTCGCCAGGTACGGGTGCGCAGAGCGTGCACCGCACACGGGCGGAATTTTCAAGGGGGCGGCAAAAACAGAAATCGAAACGAAAACGAAACTTTTTCATAATTTGCATGTCTAATGCATTTTTATCTCATCATAGTAACATCTATTGATCAGTGTACGAAAATAAATTCAAATGTTTATAGGCTTCGAATTACTTTTTTAAACGTAAGTATGTATAATTTGAATAACTCAAGATGCGGGCGCGGGGTTCCCAAATATCCTATACGGGGCGAAAGTTTTATGGGGCAGCTTAATTCTGGCAGGCTGTTATTGCGATGGTAAGACGCGTTAGGGAGGATTGGCGTGATAGGATCTCCTTTAGCTCCTTGACTACTCATCAGGAGACCATCTGTAAGCCGTAAATGACTCGGGGCCCGTCGGGGTATCAGGGATTTCCTTTCTACACTACACTTGGTTGCCCGGCTACTGCCCGAGATGGCGCGGCGTGCGGTGTTAGGGCCGGCGCTGACTAACGCTATGGTATACGATGGTAACGATATACCAAGGATGCTTTGGTATGAAGCAACATGCCAAAGCGTACGTCGCTTTTAATTTTTATCGCTAGAGAAATAAAGGGATGTTTTCTTTTAATAATCTGAACTTTCTCATCATCATCATATTCAATCTGATTTAGGAATATGGAGGACATAGGTAGAGTGGGTTTGCGATTCTCTGTATCATCTCACCTTAATCTTATCAACATTATGAAATAACAAGATTTTATTACATGGCTATATTAAAAAGATATGAGTCGTTTCCCATCTTATTTTTTTATTCATCTTTTTATTATCTTAGGAAAAGAATATTTTTTTTACAAAATAGTTTTATTTCAAGGTTTTGTTTCGATAAGTCATACAATTAGTTTAATAAGCATATATCAAACGAGAATTTTTAAAAGTTATGAACGCTCTGAAGTTAGTCTTAAAATAAATATTAAGCCCCGGTTTCCAATGATGTACTCGTAGTTGTATTATTGACTACATCATCTTTAAAATATGCCTTACTGAACTGCAGTAGCACCAGTTCGTAAGTAATTATTGTGCTTATTGCCTGAAACAACAGAATATTAAACATTATTAATATTTTTAAAACATTTTTTTTTCTAAATTTACAATTATTCGTAAGCGAACGCCGCTTGCTCTGATATATTACAATTTTTCCTTATAACATATAACCCATAAAAAAGTTAACAAAAGACATTGGAGTATAACATGTTATGTTATAGTTTACATTTAATAGAATTTTTACAATCGTTATAAAGAGAATTGGTTTTATTTTTGGGCAGTAATGCAGTCCGTAAATAACTTTAAATTTTCAAAAAATTTATAGGAATTTTTGGTATTATTTTTAATACGCAAATCTTATTTTGAAACTTAAAAATTAACCAGCAAAGCTCAGAATATTCATATTTCATTAAAATTGTTTGCATAAAAATAATTTTTCGACGGGCCTGTTGGTCCAGTGGTTAGTGCCCCTGACTGCTAAGCCGGAGCTCGTGTTTTCGATTCCCACCCGGCTGTGTGATGAGCATGATCATTTGTTCTGTGTCTGGGTGTAATTTATCTATAATATGTATGTATTTGAAAATATATAAGTATGTTTATCAGCAGTCTGCAGCAGCAGTCAGCAGCAGTCAGCATTAAGATGTCCGTGTGGTGACGGATTAAGAATACAGAGTGTCACCACCCCTGTTCATCCCGTGGGTGTCGTAAGAGCCGACTAAGGGAGAAAACTAAGCAGAACAACAGCACTGCAGAGAGAAGGAAAACTTGACACAGGCCCTGTGCCACCCCGTCTGGCCCGCGTGGTATAGTAGGCCAAAACCTCCTTTCTAAGGAGAGGCCTATGTCCAGCAGTGGACTATTAAAGGCTGTTGATGATCGATGATCAGCAGTCTGGTCACCATAGCACAGGCTCTGCCTAGTTTGGGTCGTGGGTGAGATGTGTATTTTTTTTGTATAACAATTTACATTCAGGTTCATACTCTATACTTTGAAGATGTGACGATCTTAAAATATAACAACATCAACACCTACACGTTTATAACATTGAGTAAAAATTATGAATAAAATAAATATTTTCACTTACTTGCAATATCGTATTTCGAGTGACGTAAAATAACTTGCCACTGAAGGCTACTGTTGTAAAACGAAGTGTTAATTGGAACCTATGAACCTGAAATAAATATATAATTATGGATGATTAAACAGTTCTTTGATTGCTTTTCGGGAATGTCCGTAAAGTCTCCCGCGACACAGGATATATTCCTAGTACGCGAGTTGTCTTAAAAACTGTTAACAAAATTTTAAAAATTAGTTATAACTGCCTAATCACGGTTAATATTACTGATATTAAATAGTTATTCCTATGTAATAATAGTTATTTTTATACAAATACTGCTGAATACTAAAATGTATTTCATTTTTTTAATACAATTCCAGTTTCACTTCTCAGCCGTACTAAAGCGATTGTAAGAAAATGATTCGGAATCTTAATATAATACCTTTGTAACTCATATTTTGATCATCAGAAAAAATCTTAATCAACTCTAGGGCTCTTTGAGATATTTAGCGAGAAATAGACATCAAAATTTATTAAAATATTTGGCGCTATATAAGGGATTGGATGAATTCAGATTAGGTGGCAACGTGCACACGCATTCTTAAAGTGTAAATAAAATATACAAATTAAATAGTGCTGAAAATCATAGCTACTACATATGAGTACACATATATTACTAGATTACACTACATGCATACGATTTTAAGTCCTGTTTCAGTGGAACAAGGTTACTATTTTATTAAATTGTTAAACGTCAAAAGTTTTTTGAGCCATCGTAAAAATTAAGAAACAACACATTTGCAAAAGTAAATATCAAATAGTTGCCTATCTTATGAATATACTAATACCTCCTGGTCATATTCTGCAGGCTGTACGCTGTACACTGTAATCAATGGCTTTTGCGCAGTGTTGTGCACGTTGGCAGTGAACAAGGATAGCAATATAAATCTCAGCATTAAGAACGAGACAGTGCTATAGTGAAACAGGAAATAGTCCGGCGTCGTCATTACGCTATAAGCAAACAAAATCTTATGTTAGGTTCGTGCAATACAAACTTTTGTGACCTTTAATGTGAATTGTCAGCAAATCTAATTTAAGTTAAATTAATTATTAATTAATTTCAATCAATTTTATTTTATTTTATTATGATTGTTTGAGTAGTTTAGGTATTAAAAATTTAAGAAGCTAACAAACTCATATTAAAATTAATAATCAAAGTTTTTATTTCATTTATAATTTCTACAGAAACAGTTTTTTTTACTGGTCTGTTGGTATAATGGTTAGCGATCCTAAATGCTAAGCCAGAGGTTGTGGTTTAAGTTCCCACTCAGGATACATATTGTGTAATGAGGGGAAGCGCGCGCGCGCAGAAACTTAACAGATAGGTAATGGAGCGTGTGATGTTTGATGGTTCTCTAGTCGACAAAATTCGACAAAATAAAACGATTCGACAGAGAATCAGTAAGCTGAAGTGGAAGTGGGCTGGTCATGTCTCCAGGCGGACTGATGGTCGCTGGAGGCGACATGTGCTAGAGTGGAGACCGCGATTGGGCAAACGTAGTGTAGGGCGCCCTGCGGCACGATGGACCAACGACTAGAGAAAAATGGCTGGCAGCGGATGGATGCGAACTGCCCAAGACCGGGATGATTAGCGATCTTTGGAGTAGACGGCAATAGGCTGAAGAAGAGCGCCATTTTTTGTCCTGTGTTTTAATATTGTAATTTTGTCTATAATATTTATGTATTTAGAAATAATTACTTAGTATGTACATTTAGAAACATGTGCAAGGTTGACTGTAATAGAGTTGTCCTTTATTGAGTTTGGACTGAACTTAAAGTTGTTATTATTGACTGCCTCGGTGTCGCAGTGGTGGCGTATGCGACTGCTGAGCTGAGGTCTCGGGTTTGATTCCCGGGTCGGACCAAATGTTTGTATGATCTGCAAATATTTGTTTCGGAAATGTATGTATTTACAAAAAAGAGTATGAAAGTAATCTATCAGTCAATCTAGCTTTCATAGTACAAGCTCTACCTAGTTTGAAACCAGATGGCGTTGTGTGTCAGATGTGTGAAATTTTTTATTATTTATATTTTATAGTTGGCAAAATGAGTGCGATTTTTGTTCGTGGAAAAAATACTTAAGTGTGTTAATTAAAGATTACAGGGACATACACTTAAGTATTTTTGTTATGTTTTATTAAATGCTCATAATGTATACTTATTATTATGTATGATCCACTCACTTATTAATTTTTTCAGTGCCACAATTCTTGAAATTTAAAACAGTTCCGCTGTAAAAGAAGAACAAAGTAAAAACCCTAAATCAAGTATTAATTGCTTAAAGTAGTAAGTAAGTAAGTAGTAAGTATTAGTAAGTAAATATTGATTCCTTGTAAACACAAGGAATCAA